ATATATATATATATATATATATATAGTCAATAATGAAATTAATTGTAACTACATAATTAATCTTTAACGTTTATACTTCACCAACTAATTTAACTTCAGCGCTCAAATTGTTCTCCATCATGCGATATTCGTTTTCCATCGTTTCTTCCTTCTTCTTATAAGCAGCCAATTCATCTTTTCGCAATTCTTCTAAAGCGGTGAGTCTCTTAGAAAGCTCCTTCGATTCCTCAATTTTTTCGTCCAAACTTCTTTTCAAATGCGCGATTACATCTGAGCGATCTTCTTCCAATTGCCGGAACTTCTCTTTCGTGAGTTCCGTTTGTCCCTCCAGTTCTTCATTTCGACTTCTCAATCTATTTTATTCATATCAATTTATCTTTCATTGAGCCAGCAATTTCCTTTGAATTTACATTAGATTTGCAGTTTCATTTTGTATCTTTTTTTTTTTAATTTACTTTTCTATTTTCAAATTCAATATGTACATTTAATATTTTTATTATTTCTATCAACGCAGAAACTATTTTGAATGAGAAACTATGGTGATTTATAATATACGTTATTAAATATGTATTAAAAGTTATAAAATATTCACAAATTTTGAACTCAAGTACTTTAAATCATTCGGTATATTTTATAATCAAATATTTATCAAATAATAAATGAGTATTAAAGTCAAATTTCGATCAATCGAGATTTTACTAAATTATTTAAAAACTACTGTATTTATACATGTATATATACACGTTTATATATTTATATACCGTGCCAACTGTCTATTATTATCCAAGATCTCTTGTTCGTAAGAGAGGGTCTCCCTTTCATCAATACATTTCTTTTTCACTTTCTTTTTTTTACTTTTGCCTTTCTTCTTTCTAGCCCGTTGCATTTTTTTCAATCAGCTGTTAATCATGACTTTACGAACAATTTGTATATCCTTGCACGTCACATTAAGGAACAGTACGCAAAAGTATTTCTTGTTAGATCGATAATTCTATAGTTTCACGATAACGAAAGGATTTGACAATTTATTTTGTAACGAAATATTTTCTTCTGTTCATTTTACAAGTTTTTTCATTTCTTTTTTTCCAAGTATTTTAAATTGTAAGTAAATTATGTAAAATTTCAAAGTTACTTTTTGAAAAGTGTAAATAGTTAAATACGGTATCATTTTTTGAATATTGAAATGATTCTATTGGAAAAATAATCGTAGTTAAAATATCTAATAATACTTTTCTATTTCTTTATTTCTATATATACGTTTTTGTCTATATCTCTTTTAACCAATAGTATTGACATGTATTACATACATTATTGATATACATTTAAGAATTGTAATAAAATTTTATTAATCTATAATAACAGTACATTTGTTAACATTATAATTGATGAAGAAATGTTTATACATGAAACGCGTATTTTCATTTACAAATTCATAATTCTGTCATCTTTTAGTGAAAGACACCTTTTAAAACAGAATATACTTTACGGAGATGTAAAGCAAAATGAAATATTCCACGTAAATGTTTCCTTATTTCATTGGATTTTATTAGAAAACATATTTTTCATATTAATTTTATTAAACAAACAAAACGAAGTATTGTTACGCTAATATTTTATAAATTTTCATAAAAATATATGTATTTCCTATAAACTTACCTGTTATGTATAAATGCAAATATAATATTCTAAACTTTATTCTCTATTCATAAGCATTTACTTACACTTGCTTCCATAATTCTGTGTTACCATCTCTATATTTTTTTTTTCTTTTTAAACATACATATACATATCAAACATAAAAATATATTTTAAAACAAATTAGCAAATTATAGCAAATTATAAATAGTTTGTTGTTAAAAAATTAAAAAAATCCATACGGATTAAACAAATAGCAAATGTTTAAAATTTCAAGATTTTTTCAAAGTCTGAATTTGTTTTCTATATTAGATCAAAAACTAACATATAGATAAAATTAAAGAATTCTAAAATATTGCGCAACTATTTGGCAAATTAAAAATAAATATAGATCGATCATATAGTATAAATTTGTACA